CTCCATGTCCATCTAAAAATTGTAAAATCCCTGGGTTCCACATCAGCCTCCATGAGGCCACACCTTGTACCTGCAAGGCTCTTGGCCTAACCATCCCTCTCTTCTCTTCTCTTGCCTGCCTGGGGAGCCCCTGAGGGCCCCATGGGTGCCTCCAGCCTGAGTCATCAGGGGAGAGCCTGCAGCTGAGTTTGGCAAGAAGGAGGAGCCCTGGCCCTCAGGAGGAAGATAGTCACACGTCTTTCTTCCTTGTCCCCACGGCCCCCAGAACAACATTCCCTCTGCTGGCAGCCCTTCCATCTCCCCAAGCCTGGTCAGAATGAAAGCACCTTTGCGGGTAGGTGGGAGCAAAGGGCCCACCTGCTGGTTGGCTACAGCAGTGGTGCCGGAGTGCTAGGTACCAGCCTCTCCCGCACGAGAGGAGTTCAGAGGCTTGGGAAAGCAGACCTGGGTTGAACAAAACCCCACAACGTCAGAGAGCTGAAAGAAAAGGCTCTTGGGGACCTCCAGGGCAAGGAGTTGAGAAGTCCTGCAATACCAGGTGAGACTTGTTTACGGTGGATGCCACTTCTAGGCCTCTGGGCTGCAGATGCCCTCCTCCCTTCTGCACATCTGGCCTCCTGGGCCTCCAGGTAAAGAGAGCGAGCCAGCCCAGCCCTGTCACCCCTTAGTCCTTCTTTGCTCCTGATGCTTCTCCCAACAGCCCACTGTTAGGAGGTAGTAGACCCCAGCCTCAAGGCTCTGACCTTCTCCATGTGGGCATGGAGAATCCTGACACTGGTAGGGGCTTGAGCTGGGGCAGGCAAGGAATGTGGCCAGGGACGATGGCACCCAGGGACAGGCAGACCTCCTTCCTGCTGCCAGTGCCCCCTTCCTTATCACTGTCTGGTCTCTGGGCCTCAGCTGCAGCCTGAGATGTGTCCTGGGCTCCTCAGAGCCTGAAGCAAGATTTTGGAAGCCTGTAGTCCTCCCAGCTCCAGTGCAGAAGTCTTTCCAGCCTCTCCCCAGGCAGGAGTTGGGGTTGGGGGCCTCTGTCCCTCTTCGCTTTACCTTGGAAAGATGGGAAGCTGGCACATCTGCATCTTGGGGCCTGGGCTCCCCCTCTCTGTGCCAGTGGCTTCCCAGCCCCTGCGGAGGAGCTGCAGCCTGAGCTGGACTCCAGCCTGTCCCTCTTAGCACGCTAGCTGCCCACTCCAGGGCAGGGACTTGAAACCCCCTCCCTCCTGAGCAGCCACCTCGGGGGCCCTGTTTGGGACCACTCTCTCTCAGTCGTCCCCAGGCTCCTCAAGGCCCCAGAGCGGGAGGGTCTCCTTCCTGGAAGTCCCCGTGAGCTCCGGGGCCCAGCCCTACCTGCCAGTGCTGGTGTCAGGGCACTCTACACCGAGTGTGGGGGCCACATTCCTTGCCATGCCCACGGCCTCCTCCTGTAGCTCCTGCCCACACTCTTGATGCTGCACGGGCCCGCCCCGGCAGGGCTCGGCGACTAATGTGTTTTGTCCCCAATTAACCACCATTCTGCGGCCTGGTTCTTCGAGGAGCCGGTGCTGCCCCACCGCCCGCCGTCTGCCACCCTAGGCTTCCTGACTCCATTAGTTCCGACACTTGTGAAACTCCGAGAAGTGCTGTGGTCTCAGCAATGCCCCTGTTTTGTACATGATTGTGTAATTTAAAGGTATATAAATACAAATATATATATATATCTGTTGTGACTGTATGACTGTGGATAAAATCCGGAATTGTGTCAACCTGGCTGCGCATTGTCATCTTGAGTCTTGTGTGCCTTCTCCAGCCCTGGGGGTTGCTGAGCCCTCTGAGAGCTGTTTGTGTTGGGATGAGGGGAGCGGGGTTGGTGTCCGAGCAGGACTGGGTGCTGTCTTGGCCGATCATCCACAGACTGGGCCGCTGAGGGCTGGTCCCTTCGCCCTGCAGGGGTCTGGGTCTTGTCTGGACTTGGGAGGGGGATACTGGAGGCTCCTGGAGATCTGGCCCATTCAGGATCTGGGTGCCTGGTGACAAGCCCTGATGGATCAAGAAGGAATGAGGTGGCTGGGTGCTGTGGCTCACACCTGTAATCCCAGCACTTTGGGAGGCCGAGGCAGGCAGATCACGAGGTTAAGAGATCGAGACCATCCTGGCCAACATGGTGAAACCCCGTCTCTACTAAAAATACAAAAGATTAGCTGGGTGTGGTGGCACGTGCCTGTAATCCCAGCTACTTGGGAGGCTGAGGCAGGAGAATTGCTTGAACCCAGGAGGCGGAGGTTGCAGTGAGCCAAGATTGCACCACTGCACTCCAGCCTGGTGTCTGGTGACAGAGCAAGATTCTGTCTTAAAAAAAAAAAGAAGAAGGAATGAGACCCTCAAATAGGTTTTGCTTTTTATTTTTTATAAATTTTTATTTATTTATTTATTTTGAGATGGAGTCTCGCACTGTCGCCCAGGCTAGAGTGCAGTGGCACGATCTCGGCTTGCTGTAACCTCCACCTCCTGGGTTCAAGGGATTCTCCTGCCTCAGTCTCCCAAGTACCTGGGATTACAGGCATGTGCCACCATGCCCAGCTAACTTTTTGTATTTTTAGTAGAGGTGAGGTATCACTATGTTGGCCAGGCTGGTCTCAAACTCCTGACTTGTGATCCACCCACCTAGGCCTCCCAAAGTGCTGGGATTACAGGTGTGAGCCACCGTGCCTGGTGGTTTTGCTTTTTAAAGCAGAATTCTAAGTGACTGCTGAGGCCCGTGGTTCCTGGCTGTCCACAGTGCCAACCAAGCTCCCTGTGTGGTGACGTTGGGCCATGCCATGCCCTCCTGTATCCCACCTGGCTCTGAAGGCATTTCTGTGTGGGACCCATGGGAAGGCTCCTTGAGGAGAATTTCTCAGGGGCATGGGCAGGACCAGAGCTCTGGGCTCTTGGCTGTTCTGCCAGCCCCAGGCCAGCCCTGGCTCTGCCTCCCTGACCCCACCTCCTGCACTCCAGCCCCAGGGGATCTCTTCTGGGGCAGCTCGGGAGTTCCAGCTCCAGTCCCAGTTCCACCATCAGCTCACTGTTTTCCCACCCTCACCAGGGCCTCAGCTTCCCGTCTGGTGAGATGTCTCTCTAAGGGTCCTCTGGCCCCAGGAGCCTGGCAGGGCCATCCCACAAGCCCATTTCTAATGGTAAATATACCTCAGCCCCCTCCCCAGCACCACTTTCCCCCAGCCTCAGGGTGTGCCAGGCAGGAAGAAAGGTTGAGATGGGGATTGAATTAATTTGCCACCCCATCTTCCTTACTCCTCCAAACTTACCTCCATGTGAATCCCTGGTTTTAGCTAAACAGAGGAATCTTCAAATAAAGACAAATGGTTGTTGTATTGTCTTATCTGCACTAAATGGCTGTTCCATTTAGTGATGGGGAGCCCTGAGGGTGGGGCCCCATGGAGAGGGGTCAGAGAATACCCAGCCAGGTGGGGTTCTGCTGGGAGGTGTTTGGATGAGCGAGAGGAGTCTGCAGATCGCTGCCAGCTCACAAGGTGTCACTGGATAGGCATGTGCCTGCCAAGGTTCACGGGCAGGGGCTGCCTCACCCGGGCCCCACATCTCCCCTTTCCGGAGCTGCTCCAGCTTTGCACTCCTAGCTCTACTCCCCCTACTCATCCTCCTGCCCAGCCCCTGCCTGAGACCTGATGCCTTTCCAGGCCCGGGCCCAGTTGGGGACATACAAGCAAGTGGTTCCAGGGACTCAGTTGGGAGCAGGGGACTGGCTGGAGACAAAACCAGTTCAGCAGAGCAGAGCCTGGTTCTGGCCAGGGTCCCAGTCTCCCCCCACATTCCCCCCTCCAAGGGAGTGAGAGACAGCCGGGGCCCAGCGAGGCACAGGCCTGGGGCAGGGCCCCCTCCCAGCTGACAGATGCCAAGGTGCTATTTGCTCACTGCCAGGAGTAAACTTTCTTCTGAAGACAATAAAATTGCTGAGGGCAAAAGGCAGCAGCACAGGGTAGCATTTAACCCTTGGTGATCTGGATGGTGCTGGCTCCCCTGCTGTTTCCTGCAAGCCAGGCGTCAGATGGTAAGGGTGATGGGGCACCAAGGGTGCTGACTGGTCAGGAAGCTGGAGGGCCAGAGGAGCAGAGACAGCCCTGTCCTTGGGGAGAGACGGGCATGAGTTATTCTGCTGACCAGCTGTGTGACCATCAGCAAGTCACTTAGCCACTCTGAGCCTCAGTTTTATCTTCTACAAAATGGGGTGTAGCCCTACCTCATAGTTTTGTTGGGAAGATGAATGACAAAGCGCCTAGCACACAGTAGACCATCAGGACACTGAGCCGGGTGACAAATGTGAGGGAAATATGAGGAAGTTGAATGAGTCGCTTTGCCCAGGAGAGTGGGTGGCAGGTCCTGGTCACCCCCAGCATGCCCACAGACACCGATGCATCCCCTCTTCCCATCACGCATGGGGGGGTCTCACACCCACTCACGGTAGCTCACAGCTTCACAGGTGGCACTGCTGAGGCCTTGAGGAAACAGAAACGGAAGCCAAGCAACCTCTCTTCCATGCTGTTAGCTGCAAAGCCAGTGTCCCATGAGGGGACTGAAGTGACCTCCCCCCACAACTCCAGCTCCCTTAGATGGCTGAGCAGAGACAATGGCCCTGGGCCTCCGGTCCACCCAGGCACAAAGTCCTGCTCTACAATACAGCAAACAGATGCGGAAGATGCTTTCCCCACTCCGGTCCTGCACACAGACCCTCTTTAGCGCTGGCCCTGCCGCCTGCCTCTCAGCCCAAAATGGGATAGGCCAGACAAGATGGTTGTTCTAGTCCCTCCCTCCCTTCTTGCCTTCGAAGACTCACTATCCCTCTCCCAGAAGCATCTACCAATCAATTACCCCTTTCCCATTAGGCTCAGTCCACAGCCTCCTCCTCCAGAAAGCCTCCCTCGGCTACTCCAGGACCTGTGACCACAACCACGTTTGACCATTGATGGCCTTGGGCCTGGGCCATTCACTGCACAGACACTGGGGACATGTCAGTTCTCTAGTATCTTTATTATCCATTCCCAGGGGCACTCCTGCCTCCCCAACTCAGGGGTGCAAACACCTCCCTGCACCATGCTGGGTGTGGTACAGAATGGGAGGCAGGACGATGGAGCAAAGAGAGCCCTGAACTGCCTGTGGCCTTCGTGGAGTCCCTGCCCTTCCGAGGCTTTGCTCTGGGAATGCTGGGGACAGAGGCAGGTGAGGGTCCTTTGTTGGGGAGCAGTGAACACTGACAGTAGCCCTGGCTCCTCTGTCCTCCAGGAGAGCAGCATGCCTGCCCCGGGGTCCTGCAGACCCCAGAGGGCCCGCTTTTCCCCAGGGAGCAGTGGGGCACCCCTCCCTCACTTTGGGCTCTGGAAGGCCAGAGCAGCAGAGCAGACTGCCCGTCTTCCCCCCAGCTCAGGGCTTGGCTGGGGAAGGGCAGGCAGGAGGGAGGCCCCTAAGGGCTGGTTTCAGGCCCTGGGCCAGTGGCTAGGCCAGGCACTCAGATGGGGTGCACGAACTGGTAGACGAGGCGCTGGGAGATGTCTGGCTTCCGGATGATGCCCTTCTTGTAATACTGGCGGATGGATCGGCTCAGCTTGTCGTAGTTCATGGCAGGACGGTTCTTGCGGATGCCCCACAGCCGGGCCACCTGGGCTGAGTCCTCAATTTTGAAGATGCCTGGAGAGCAGGAGGGCCCCAAGAGTATGAGTGAGGTGGCAGGAAGGAGAAAGATGCAGACCACCAGCTTAGCCTTGAGGCGAACCAAGGGACCCCGTGCGGAGGCCTCCCTCAGCTCAGGCGGGATGGGTTGTGGGGACCGGAATGCCGACTTGCATGCTGTATTTGCAGTAGGGGTTAAAGAGACGTGTGCAAAGCAGGTGCTGCAGGCCCCAGTGAATGGCAGAGAATACTCTGGAGTCACAAACCTCCCGGCACAGGTGAGCCTGTGTACCTTAATGGGTTCCCTGGGGCCCTGTGGGTCTGGCCCTTGCCAGCCCTGCTCCGTGTGGGGTTTGCATGCCCTAATCCAGACTCCTGTGTGGCTCCCGGCAGTGCCCATGGCTGACTGAGCAAAAACACCCCTCCCCCACTACAGGTGTCTCTGTAGTTCCCAAGCCTAAAATAACCTCTTTGCTATTCTCAGGCAGTCTGGCCTGCGCAGCCCTTTCTGGTAGGATTAATTAATACGAGATGGTGCAGAGAGAGTGGACTTGGAGCTCAGCCAACTGGACTTGAGTCCTGGCTCTGCCATTGGCCACCTTCAAAACCTGAGGCTCCTTTTTCTGTCTGTGAGAGGGAGTTACATGACTACCATGGGTTATTGAGCTGTTACAGAAAGCGCTCACTTGGGACAAGTTATTCCATTGTTCATACCCTCAACTTTCATTCTATTAAGAAACCCTCCAGCCCAGGCCCAGGCCAGCATCCCTTCTCCAGGGAGGCTTCGCAGACCACCAGTTCTTCCCGAAACCCCTCCCTAGAACTCCACCATGGGACTGTGCCCAGACTGGCTCATACTGTCTCAAATACACACCCAGGGCCACCAAACTGTGCACAGGTGCATCTTTGCCACCACCCCCCATCTAACTAACTTCTCCTCCATGAGTCCTGGACCTAGCCCTCCATAAATGTCTGCTGAGCAGGTGTGGAACCAGAGCAGTTGCTGGCTGAAGGTTTGTTGGATGGATGAATCCAGTCCATTTGACAGTGGAGACAGCGGAGGTCCAGGCTCCCACAGCACCTACGGCACGTTTCCCGCCTCTGAGCCTTTCTCTAAACACACACGCACCCACGCACAGGCATACTTGCACATGCCCTGCACACTCCAGGGTAGTAGCCACCAGCCATATGGCTCTCAAGTCATGAAATGTGGCTTAATTCGAAATGAAATGTGTTGGAAGTGTAAAATACACACTAGATTTCTAAGACTTGGAAGATACCTCATTAATAAGTTCTATATTAATTATATGTTGAAGTCTGAATAATTTATAATATTAGATTAAATAAATGTATTCTTAAAATTAAGTTCACCTGCTTTTAAACTTTCTCTTTTCTTTTTCTTTCTTTTTTTTTTTGACCCAGAGTTTTTGTTCTTATTGCCCAGGCTGGAGTGCAATGGCACGATCTCAGCTCACCGCAACCTCCACCTCCCTGCTTCAAGTGATTCTCCTGCCTTAGCCTCGCAAGTAGCTGGAATTACAGGCACCTGCCACCACACCTGGCTAACTTTTTGTATTTACTAGAGACAGGGTTTCACCATGTTGGTCAGTCTGGTCTCAAACTCCTGACCTCAGGTGATCCACCCGCCTTGGCCTCCCAAAGTGCTGGGATTACAGGCATGTGCCACCGCCCGGCCCAACTATTTTTCTTAGAGACAGGGTCTCACACTATCTCCCAGGCTGGAGTACAGAGGTGAGATCACAGCTCCATACAGCTTCAAATTCCAGGGCTCACACGATCCTCCCACCTCAGCCTCCTGAGTAGTGAGGACTACACTGTGAACCACTGTGCCCAGTTAGAAAACTTAATATTGCAAACATGGCTCAGATTCTATTTCTTGCTGGACATCATTCATCCCCCAGTGAAGCTATGATGTTTTGAGGGCAAAGACTGTCCCATTCCCAGCAAGTAGCTTTCAGGCTCTCCTAAGTTCCAGGCGCTGTGTCATACGAAAGCTCCTAAGCAAGACAGAGTCTGGCGGGAGACAGATACGGACACAAATTGCACACAGACCGCCAGGGCCGTCCCATGAGAGCAGCGTATTTGGCATCCAGGACAGATGGGTCAGGCGGGAATCAGCTTCACCTCTCCGCCCCGCCCCCGCCCCCACCACAGTGCCCGGCGGGAGCCCCCATCACCTCCGTGCTCGCTGCTCCTGCCGCGCCCCTTGGGCACCCCGCTCACCCTTCTCCTTGTTGAGCCACCTGATGAAGCGGCCGTAGCTGTGGGGCTTGAGCAGAAGCTCCTTGAGGAACTGCCACAGGTGGATGGGCTGCCCAGAGCACGATGAGTCCACCTCGCTGTCCGGCCAGCTCTCCTCACTGGTCGAGGCTGCGAGGCCAGGGAGGGTGGCAGTGAGTGGGAAGGGGAGTCCAGCCCCTGCTTCAGTGGCAGCCACCCCTCCACCCCACCCGAGCCCCCACCCCCACCCACCCCTGCCTGGCTCACCACAGTAGTGAATCGTCCCAGGTGAAGTCCGCTCTTTCATCCAGGCCGCTGCAGGGCAAGGAGAGGGGGTTGGGGACCCAGGAGAGACCCCGAGGGTGGAGGAGGGGAGGCGCTTGGGCTACGGCTGTGGCTGGGGGTTACCCCTGTGGCTCCCTGCCTCCTGCCAACCTGGGGAGGCAAGCTGGTGACAAGGAGCTGCTTCCTGGAAGAAAATTCAGGGTTTCAGAGCTGGGAGGGGCCGTAGAGGCCTTGCAGGCATCAACTTGTGCAGATGAGGGCATCTGACATGGGGCTTGCCTAGGCTGGGGCAGGGCACTGGTCTCTGGCAGGGTCATATGAGGGGGTCCTGTGTCTCATTCCTTGGCTCATGGAACAGGCACCACCTCCTCCAAAGCATCCGGCCCTGGGCAGGTGGTGCCCAATGAGCTCAAGATGATTTAGACATTCAGGGGCTGACACGCAGCCATTCGAAATACAGGGCAGGCCGGGCGTGGAGGTTCACGCCTGTAGTCCCAGCACTTCGGGAGGCCGAGGTGGGTGGATTGCTCAAGTCCAGGAGTTGGAGACCAGTCTGGCCAACATGGTGAAACCCCATCTCTACCAAAAAATACAAAAAGTAGCAGGGCGTGGTGTTGCACCTGTAGACTCAGCTACTCGGGAGATTGGGGTGGGAGGATCCGATGAAACTGGAAGTCGAGGCTGCAGTGAGCTGTGACTACGCCACTGCCCTCCCGCCTGGGCAACAGACTGAGACCCTGTTTCAAAAAACAAAAACTAAAATTAAAACAGGGCTGCTGCATACAGACTGACAGGGGCAAAGTCCGAGACATACTGTGGCGTGCAGAGCAGGGTGATACTCTGCTACTGTCGGTGTCAAAAAAAAAAAGAAAGAGCTGCATGTATGTATATGATGTATATGTGCTTGAATATCCACAGACTTTCCCTGCAGATACTCAGAAACTGGTAACAGTGGTTGCCTCTAGGGCGGGGGTTGGAAGCTGGGGGTCAGGAGTGGGAGGGAGAAACTATTCATGGTACACTACTTTTCACTGTGGTCTATTTTGTAACATGCACATTTATTACTTCTCTAATAAAAAACAAAGAAAAAGAAATTTTAAAAGGAAAGGACTTCCTAGTGCCCACAGTTGCCCCCAGCTCTGACGTCCTGCATCCTCACAGTCTGACTTCTACCTTTTGACCTCCCAGGTGCCGTTCCAAAGCTCTGGGGCCTTGACCCGGGCTGGAAGTGGGTGTGGATCCAGGAGGAAGCGGCAATGGGGCTGAGATTCAGAGTGAACTCCAGGCAGGGGCCAAGGGGCTACGGCCCCAGCAGAGGGAAACCTCCTGGCCTACATCCTGTCCCCGACTGGAGCCCAGGAGGGGCCACTCCCACCCACGCCACATCTCACCTGACTTCCAGATGTCCAGGTGCGCGTGCAGCACATCCCCACCCAGGGGTGAGCGCTGGCGGAACTGCTCCTCCGACATGGCACACAGCTCCTTGCCCGCCAGCTCCTGGAAGGCCTTGCCCACGGGGGGCAACCGGTACTGGTGCTCAGTCCACAGGAGCCACTTCTGCACGTTGCCAGGGCTCCAGTCCACGGGATCTGTGCAAGAGGCATCCCCTCAGCTCAGGGGCAGCCTGAGGGCACCACCCCAAATATGGCTGACCCCTCTGTGATGGGGCACCCACAGGAATCTGTGGCCTGAGACCAAGTGCTCCTTAGGGTAGGGACAGGCCAGCTCTGGACAGGCCCGTGAGGGCCCCTGTGGAGGTGGGTACCCAAGGAGAGAGTTGGGGGCATCAGGAAGGAACCAGGGACCTAAAAAATGAACTTGGTTCAGGGCAGGGTAACCTGGTGCATCTGTACGGCCTGCCTCACCCTGGCCTTGGGTCCTCCCAGATCACCCCCCGCCTCTCCAAAGGACCTTTCGAGGGAGCCCCAGCCCGGAAGGGACAGTGACATTCTACCAGAAACACCTGGGCTTCTCCCTCAGGTTCTTCTTGCCTTTCCCAAACCCCTCAAGGAATCAGTGACACACCTACCTGGAAATTAGTCTTAGAACCCCACCATTCCCTCCAGCCCCTGTATCTTACAAATAAGGAAACTGAGGCACAGGGCACTCCATCCCCTTGTCCTCCATGGAATACAGGCCTGGACACACAGGAGCTGCTCCATGCGCATGTTGAATAAGTAAATGGCAGGGCACAGGGTGGTCATGGGCAGCCACAGGCCCCGGAGGCCAGGAGGGGAGCCCCGGCTAGGGCCTAGATGTCTCCCTGGGGTGCTGCTCTGGGGTAAGCCTGATAGGCCTACAGGTGGGGGCCAGGCTGGTGGACATGGTTACAATGGGGCCTCCCAGTGAACACCGTGGTCCAGCCAATGTCCCAGCTCAGTGACCTGCAGGTTGGGCTGCCCCCACTTAATAAGCCCATTTTCCTCCCCCGAGGTCAAAGCCGTTTGTTTCTGTTCCCATTGTTCATGGAGCAGGGCCCTTTCCTCCCTAGCCCTGTGGGTGGGGAGGTCTGTGGGAGAACTCCTGGAGTCGGCTGGCATGAGCATTGGGAAACCAGAGGACTGCAGCATCGGCAGGAGCAGCTTCAAAAGATGCTCTGTGGGAGCTCTGGGGGCAGGGGCTGGGCCTGAGGGATGTGTGAAAACCCCTCCTTCCCAGAGAAAGCTACACAGAGCTGGATGCTGCAATGCCAGGGCCTAAAGACTGAGGGACATGGGTCAGGCCTGCCTGAAGCTGGAGAGGTGATGGCAGGACAGAGGACTGGAGATTCAGCAGCCCCGCCACCCACAGCATCAGCTCCGTAACCTTCCAGGTCTGACTGACAGTCACACATGTGCCCGCCCTGGGAAACTCCCTTCTCATAAATAGAGATATGTGTCTAGAGATGAATAGAGAAATGTGTCACCAGACCAGCGACACATTTCTCTATGTATCTATGATCTGTTTCCCTCGCCATAATGTCAGCCCTGTAAACATAGGGACTTTGTGTTGTCTTCACCACTCAACTCCCCAGTCCTAGAGTAAAGCTTGGCCTATTAAGAAGTGCTTGTTGGCCAGGAGAGGTGGCTCATGCCTGTAATCCCAGCACTTGGGAGGCTGAGGCGGGTGGATCACCTGAGGTCAGGAGTTCAAGACCAGCCTGGCCAACATGGCAAACCCCCATCTCTACTAAAAGTATAAAAATTAGCTAGGTGTGGTGGTGGGCACTTGTAATCCCAGCTACTGGGGAGGCTGAGGCAGGAGAATCACTTGAACTTAGAGGCGGAGGTTGCAGGGAGCTGAAATCATGCCACTGCACTCCAGCCTGGGTGATAGAGCAAAACCCTGTCTCAAAAAGAAGAAAAAGAAACGCTTGTTGAACAACTGCTTACTGAGCATCAGTTCTATGCAGATCCTAGGATATGAAAATGGAGTGATGAACAAGACAAATGAAAATCCCGCCCCTGTGGGTGTGACGGACACACAGCGAGCAAGATCAACAGACACTGAGGAAGCACGTGGGAACAGCAGGTAGGGATGTGGGCAGAAATGTTTCTTCTTTCTTTTTTTTATTCATTTTTGGTTTATTTTCTTTACTGTGTCCTGTGCTCATGGACGTCAATTTTAATGGAGGGGTCAGAGAAGGCCTCACTCAGATGGTTCCATCGAAGTGAGCCAAGCTGAAGGAAGTGAGCCACGCAGATATTTGGGGGAAGGAGCAGCAGCCTAGTGAGTGTCATGGGAACCACAAAGAGCCCAGTGTGGCTGGAGCAGAGCGAATGAGGGGAGAGCGGAGTCCAAGAGGAAGTGAGGGACACAGAGTTGGAATTCATGTCATCCAGCACCTACCAGTGGGGACAGTAGGCTGGCATGGTTGGGGTGCAGAGAATGGGTGGAAACCCTACCAGCCCAGGCTCACAGCTGACTGTGGAGAAGCGCCAGCAACCCCGAAGCCGCCCGAGGCGGGGGCAGAGGTGGGCAGAGTCCATCCAGCAGTGCCCCAACCCACCCACCCCAGCGACCTCAGCCTGGCCTGCGACCCCTCTTACAGAAGCAGGCACGGGGAGAGGGCTCACCTGCGGCGATGTTGAGCAGCTTGCAGGCCGTCTCGATGTCCTTGAGCACCTCGCCCACCACCATGGACTGCACCTGCTCCAGTGAATGCTCCTCCAGCGCCAGCCCGCCTGGCCCCAAGTCCAGGCTGCCCCCTGGGGCTTGGCTGTCAATGACCGGGCACTGCTCAGGCTCCTCAGGCGGCTCCTCCCGACTGCTGGCCCCAGGGGCCTTGGCTGCCCAGCTGCTGTCCTCAGGGTACAGCATGTCAAAGTAGGAGAGGTAGAAGGCAGACAGGCCCTGCTCGGGTGTGGCGGGTGGACTGGGGCTCCAGTCCCGTCTCTCGAGACCCACTGCCCCCGCTGCCACCTTCTCCAAGCCTGTCCGAGACACCGAATCGGGGGGCAGCAGGAGGTGGCTGGGGGACACGCTGCTCAGACCCGGGCTGGCGCTGCCCATGCCGCTGCTGTTCGGGCCGGCGACTGCGTCTATGGAAATGAAAGAGGACTCAGGTCTGACTGTTTCTCCATCCCCATGGGGGCCGCTAAGCTGGTTATGGGGATGAGGGGCCCTGTGGACAGTGGGCTGGGCCTGGGACAGAGCTGGGTCTTCCGGGTCATTGGGCAGCCAGGACATGGTTGGGCAGACAGGCCTTCTGGCTGGGAAAGACAGCGAGGTGGAGTGGGAAGCCAGGCTGGGTGGGAGCCGCAAAGCTCCACACATGGAATGTGTTCAAACGGCCTTCTGAGGTTCCTGACCTCATTCAGCCCTCACAATGGAAGGCATGATTGGCCCCATTTGGCGGATGAGCAAACTGAGGCAGGGACAAGGAGCTCTCAATGTCCAAATCTTTTCTGCTGTAGCAAAGCTTGTTTTTCTTTTTCTTTTTTTAAGAGACAGGGTCTCGCTATGCTGCCCAGGCTGGAGTGCAGGCGCGATCCCACTACTGATCAGCACGGGAGTTTTGACCTGCTCCATTTCCAACCTGGGCCAGGTCACCCCTCCTTAGGCAACCTGGTGGTCCCCCGCTCCTGGGAGGTCACCATATTGATGCCGAAATTAGTGCGGACACACGATCAGCATAGTGCACTACAGCTCAGAACTCCTGGGCTCAAGAGATCCTCCAGCCTCAGCCTCCCAAGTAGCTGGGACTATAGGCAGGCACCTCTGTGCCTGGCACAAAGCTTGATTTTCTTCTACCCTTGATAGGGATAGGAGCAGAGGTGGCAGGCAGAGGCCACCATCCTAAAGGTGGCCTTCATCGTCACCAGCAGGGGAGAAAAGAGAGGAACAAGGTGGGTGATGGGGTAGAGACCCTCTCACACACTGAGGATTTGGCAAGCCCTTGCCCTCCCACAGGGCTCTCTGGGGGATCTAAGTAAACTCTCGAGGCAGCCACTAAGAGAGAGCTCACAGGTTTGCTTGTCTCTGCACACCCCAGACTGGGTGCATAGTACCCACCTCCCCTTATCCTCCCTCGAACAGTGCTGCCCCCAGGGCCCCTCCCAGCTCCAGGCACCAGCACCCTCTACTTTCCCCTATGCCTGGAGGAGCGCACAGCCTCCTGGAGGTGGTGCCACAGGCCAGGCTTTCCAGGGGAAAGCCAGGGTGATGGTGAGAAGGGGCAGGGCTCCAAGGAACATCAAAAACCCTTAGCAACTCAGACACCTGCTCCTCACTTCCGCCCTAACGCCCTCCAGGGGGAAACATTTGGCCTTAACACAAGCAGTCAGAGGCCCTGCTCCCCATGGGGGCACCCAGGCTTGGTTTTGCCCAGGCCCTTTTCCCTGAACCCCACATTAGAGTGCACAGTTTGGATGAGGAGGGAGCTGGAGAGGGAGCACAAGACCCAAACCCCAGGATATTCTGGAATATAAGTGATGTAGGGGCCTGAAACTTAAGAATACATTGAGACAGTCCAGGCACAGTGGCTGACACCGGTAATCCCAGCACTTTGGAAGGCTGAGGTGGGCGGATCACCTGAAGTCAGGAGTTTGAGACCAGCCTGGCCAACATGGTGAAACCTGGTCTCTACCAGAAATACAAAAATTAGCTGGGCAGGAGAATTGCTTGAACCCTGGAGGCGTTTGCAGTGAGCTGAGATCGCACCACTGCACTGCTGCATTCCTGCCTAGGCCACAGAGCAAGACTCCATCTAAAAAAAATAATGACAGAGGCAGAAGATTACCAACAGTTATATGCTTCTAATAGTACAGAGAACCAGTTAGAGAGGGGGAAAGGAGCAGATAAACCTGTTAAGGGCAAGTTAATTGGTGTCCTTTCTCGGGGCTATTTAGATTTTCAAGCAGTGGTTCTCAAAATGTGGTGCCTGGCCAGCAGAACCAGCGCCTCCTAGGAGCTTGCGAGGACCTTGGCTTCTCAGGCACTGCAGAGCCACCGAATCAGCAGCTCCGGGGGAGGCCCCGCAGTCGGTTTAACTGGCCTCTTGGGTGATTCTCACGCATGTTCAGATTTGAGGATCACTGCTTTACAGGCAACCGGCCAGTGCAGGGGAAGGCTTTAAGCACTGAAATCCTCCCTAACAGTGGCATTTATGGTGTCACTGGGACAGCGGGCAGATAAGGGGGCTCCCTGGTCCAACTCCAGTCACCCTGTGGGACTGACCCACACATCCTCCGTATGCAGCTGGCATTTGCCTCTGCAGGTGGGACAAAGGAAAGAACCCAGTTTGGAAGACGCCTCCAGTTTGACAGGGCCACAACTAGCCCATTCATCTTCACACAACTCAGAAAATGGCACCCCTTCCCCCTGGATAGTGCAGCTTGACAAATGGAGCCCAGGTAGAATTTCAGCTCCCACTGCCCACCCTCCTTGTGCAGTGCCCAAGCTTCCCAGCATTACATGGCAGCCCTGCAGTTTACTATGGTGGAGAGAATGCCAGCAGGAGGGAAAAGTGTTCCCTTTGAATTCAACTCTCCCATTCAAGGGCTCCTTTAAGTGACAAGGAAGGAAAGGTCAGGGTGGGGAGGGGTAGGCAGAGACCGAGGCGGGGCTGGGATGTGGGGGACAGAGGGCAGACCTGGAATCATTTCAAGTCCTTCTGTGCAAACACTTGTGTGTGCTGTGGGCCCACATTATTTACTCAGGCAGTGCCAACAGCTCACTCTGCCCCTGGGCCCCACCCTGGCCAGTGCCCATGCCCTACCCGCTACGTGGCTCCATCCCTGGGGACCCCCCCTGCAGCCCCAGTCCCCCATATCACCCCTTCCCTGCCTCCTGCCCTGTCCGCATCCCCAGAGCCCCCATGCCTGCCACGTTAGGACAGTTTCTGCCAACACCCTGGGCGCCATGCCAGGGAGACCGAAGCTTTTCCAAGAGGCAGAACTCACTTCCCTTGTGGTCCTCCTGTTTGCTTGGCCTCAGCCACAGGTAGGACGGGAGGCAGCTGCTGCACTTCAGGCCTTGGTTTCTAGAGGGGTCGGTGGGGATGAATGGGCAGGGCAGGTAGCAGTATTTGTCAGGAAGGGATATAATGACACATCCTTGACACATTTGCTGAATGCGTGCGAAGCCCTCGCATCCGTCCCCTAGCCAGGAGAAAGGCAGAACAGGCCTTATTCTTTCCTTTTTTTTGACACAGGGTCTTGCTGTGTCGCCCAGGCTACAGTGCAGGGGCACAATCACGGTTCACTGTAGCCTCGACCTCCTGGGTTCAAGTAATCCTCCTGTTTCAGCCTCCCAAGTAGCTGGGACTACAGGCGTGCACCATCATGCCTGGCTAAATTTTTTAATCTGTTGTAGAGACACAGTTTCACCATGTTGCCCAGGCTGGTCTCAAGCTCCTGGGCTCAAGCGATCCCCCACCTCAGCCTCCCAAAGTTCTGGGATTACAGGCACAAGCTACCTCATCAGGCCCAGGTCTTATTCTCATCATTATTTTGCTAATGGGAAAGTCAAGGTGGAAAGAGGTAAATCTGCAAATCCAGGTCTTCTGACCCCTGGCTCAGGCTCCTTCCCCCCTACACCCCACATGCCAGCTTGCCCTTGCCCTCTATCTAAATGCCAAGGAATCTTCCCCTCTAAGCCTTGGTCCTAGCTCCAACACTTCCCTGATGAAAAATAAGTTAATGGTTAACTGTGTGTCTGGAGGAAAGGTTTGACTCTCAGCAGATTGGGGGTGGCAGGGAATGCTCCGTCCCCCAGGCAGCCCAGGTCTGGAGTAGGGGGGCTTGGCTTACTGGTCAGGGAGCCAGGGCTGGTGTGCCCGACCTGCAACTTGGCATCTGCTCCAGGCTCCGGGCTGGCCTCTGGAGGGAAGAAGGGAGAACGGCACCAGGAGGCCCTGGCAGGGAGCACCAGTGCCACGTCCAGGGCTTTCACCCACATCACCTGCTCTCCTATTCACAGCCAGGGTGACGTGGACTCCAGAGCCCTGCTTTATAGATGTGGACAGTGAGGCTCGGGGAGGCTATGCAGCCTGCCTGGAGTTCTTCCTGGCCAGGCACAGGCTCTGCTCACTGGACCATATTCTCTCTGAGGCTCATGCTCTGGCCAGTCCCATCTTCCTAGGGGATCTGCCCACCTCCTGACCTGGCTCCTTGATGCTCTGAACTCTGTCCCCACCTCTTGGCTGTTCATTCCACCCCACTGTTCATTTCCCTGCAGCACCCTTTCATTTCTGTGCTCGATAATCTTCCATGACTCCCCATTGCCTTCCCTGCCCCATCCCAATGCCTGGTGCCCACCTCTGAGCCCACCTACCTAGCCCAGATCAACAGAGCTGGAAGGGGCCATATACTATGTGATCATTTCATAGATGGGAACGATGAGTGGGGAAGGGATTCATGTGCATATTAGCGGCAGGATCTGGACCCGAACTAGGGATTGACATAGTGACCACAAGTCCAAGCTCTAATGAGAATGCCACTTCATACCTGCCCTGTGCTGTGGGCACAACATGGGTATTTTCTAGGATGCCCCTTCCTCCTCATCACAATTCATCCTAAAGCCCTCCTCCCCCAGGGAGCCCTCCCTAACAGCTCCCTCCTATGCTCCCAGGCTCTCCTCATCTGTGCCATGCAATTCAGCCCAGGATGAAATCCACAGGTGACGATTTGCCCAGGGAAATACATATGCACTGGGAAAGATGAGGCTCAAGGGAGGTGCTCACACAGCACAGCCAGGGCCAGACGAGAGGCCTCCTGACACTCAGGCCACTGCTCCGTGGGCCGAGGGTCCTGGGGCGAGCTAGGCGTCTGCCATATCCAGGATCCTCAGAGGGCAGATCCTGGCAGTCTTGCAGCCTTGGCCTGCCAGCCCCAGGGGCTGCTGTCTCCTGAGCAATGCCTCCAGCTCCCAAACCTCGAGTTGATCTCTTCTGGATTAAGCCACGTGTCTGGATTAAGGCTCGGCGTGTCCTGGCTCCCTCCTGCTCCAGAGGCCCCGGATACCACTCCAGACAAAGAAAGTTTGGTAACAGCTGGTAGAGGCCAAGGCCCGGAGACAGGAGCAGATTGGTGGGTGGCAG